CAGATGTAAGAGCACAGCTAAAATGACCAGAAAGTAATGTTTCTAGATTATCATTGTTTTTCTATGATTTATTTTGTAACAATTTTGTCTTTGTGGGTGTTTACATTATAACATGATTCACACTTTCATCTTTAGTCATAAATGTTAGTGGATATACTTTGTACTACTGTTTTTAAATGATTTCAGATGAAAATTCTTTGGGTGATGCAAGTTATCAGACATGAGAATACCATTAATAGAAAAGAAGGATTCAAATAAATGAACAGTGAAGCTGCTGAGCCAGAATGTGCGTCCTTCCAGGCTTGAAATGTGACACCAGACATGTTTCACTTCTGGACCAAATGACTGGATGTTCTGGTAAATCAGATGATAATGACAAAATATGGATTTCAGAAAGTGAGTGTTTTAAGTAAACTACCAGCAAATTGTTTTTATAATTTCAACCTATCCCTTTAGGCACACATTTTTTAGTAAAAACTTCTGAAGAACTTATTACTGTGCATCTCTTCTGTTTGTAATTTCCATGTAAAAGTTTTCAACCTTGCCTTTACCTTACCTTTTGTCTTAAATACAACATCCTCAGTCCTGTACAATTCCTTACTGTTGGCGTGAGTCACTTAGTGCCATTTTAGAGTAAAACTGACCTTTTCTTCTAGTTTTGAAATGTAAAACATACCTTTAGATCCAGCGTTCAGTCATGTCATCTGGATGGTTTCTTTGTTTTTGTTAAGATGTTTCGTCCTTCATTCAAAGGTCTTCATCAGTCCAAGGAGACACAACATACTAAGTCCCATAAGCAGACACATAGTGGTCCCACTAGTTTGCTGATGATAAGATAAAATAAGATGGTTTCTGTCGACTCCTCTGAGTGGTTCAAAACATTAAAGTTGTCTGATGAAGTCCTTTGGATGAAGGATGAAACGTATCAAAAAAAAAAAAAGAAGAAACCGTCCAGATGACCTGACTGAACTTTGTTGGATTTTTTACCTGGATTATTGAGCAGGGCATCACGGTGGTGCAGTTGGAGAGCTGCTGCCTCTCAGCGAGCAGTTTACCCTGGTTCAAATCCCGGTCCAGGGGCCCTTCTGGATGGAGATTGCATGTTCTCTCGTGCATGCTTGGGTTTTCTCTGGGTACTCTGGTTTCCTCCCATGTTAGGCTAATTGGTAACTTTAAATTGTCCCTAGGTGTGAGTGAGAGAGTGAATGGTTGTTTGTCTCGTTTGTCTCTATGTGTCCCTGTGATGGACTTGCTACCAGTCCAGGCTGTTCCCCGCCTCTCACACAGTGATGGCTGGACATGAGCACCAGTGACACCCGTGACCCAAAAAAGGAAGAGGCGGGTAATATATTTTATGTATTTATAAACCTTTATTTAAAGGTAAAGATAATGGATGGATGGATGGATGGATGGATTATTGAGCATGAACTTTGATGTTTTGAACCACTTTGGCTATGACTGCCTCAGAAGAGTCGACTGTGGGGAGGGCAGGCCCCAGAAACCATCTTATCACCAGCAAACTGGTTGGTCCACTGTGGGTGTGCTGCTTGTGGGACTCAGTTTGTTGTGGCTCCTCGGACTGAAAAAAGTCATTTGGATGAATGATGAAAAGTCTCATCAAAAACAAAGAAACTGTCCAGATGATCTGACTAAACTTTGTTGGATTTTTTTACCTGAATTATCGAGCATGAACTTTGACATACCTTTTAGATGTTTGCAAGAAACGTGGAATCATCTCATATGTTTGTGTTGCTGCAGCAGCTTTTTTACTTTTTTCCATTGCTCACATGTTCATTATTTTAAAAATCAATCTGATATTTATTCAACTGAATTCATAAAACACACACAAATTATATTTTGGTTATCTATCTAATCTCCTAGCCTCCGTACAGCAAGCCACTTTCTGTAGTTTCTGTCTTTAGCTTGAATCTGGGTCTCATTGTTTTTACCTTAAATGTTCCTTCGTTTGAGCTGGATGTCAGCAGTAAAACTTTTATGACCGAATGTCAAAATAATCAGTTCTCAGTCAGCAGCCTTCCTTATAAATATATGTTACATTATTTATGATCCCTACTTAAGTTGAGCTAAATATATTCTTCGTCTGTTATGTTAGTCTGAGTGTGTTTAGTAAAAAATCCAGAACAGATTACAACCATCATCACAAATGTGGTTTTATTGTTCCACCAGCCCCGTTTTATGCTCATGACTTCCTATTTCCTTCTTGCTAATCCACTCATAAAGCATCTACAGATTTTACCATAATTTACTCTTGGCTCAGCTTAATTTTCCCTTGGCTGTCATTTAAAATATGTATTTTGAACGTTGTTGTTTAAAAATCAGAAGGGAAAGGATTCAGATCAGATCTTTCTTTGAAAACTGTGTGGTCTGGCCTCACCCACTTGCCTAACCGCACTTTGACAACCTGAACCTAAACATTTGCCTGCTCGAGCTGTAATCTAAACGCAAAATCTAGCTAACCACTGTAATTTACACAATCCATAGGTTCAAGGAGTTCTGTGTGTCGCATGAACGAAGGAGGGGAGGCGTCTGTAGCAACTGTACTTCATTTTAAGAGAAAATTAGAGAGTTCAACCATGTGTTCATTCCCTAATAAAACCAACAAAACAAAGACATGGCATCTATATTTAAAGCAATAAGAAAGTTAAAGACATATTTAGATAAATCTAAAGGTTTGTTTTGCCATTTTAGGTCTTTATGATCAGAAGATTTGTTTAGAAAAACCTGTTGAAACCTTAGGGATTTATTTTTCATTGAAAAAACTAGAAACAATAATCAGCCAAGAGAGGGCAAACCTTCTGCATTTATTGCAAACTGATGAATATGGCCTCTCTTTAATATAATGAAAAACTAACTTATGTTGCTTGAAAATATCTTGCTCTAGACTTTGAAGGTAAAAGTACATACATGTACAAACATCAAGACGTAAAAAAAAAAAAAGGATCCAGTTCAGTTTACTCTTAGGGGCATCTGTGGCTGAGTGGTTAGAGCAGCCGTCCTCTAATGCAAGAGTTAGGGGTTTGATTCCACCAGCAGTCACGTGCTGAAGAGTCCCTGGGCAAGACACCAAACCCCTCATTGCCTCTGATATGTGTCCCATTGGTGTATGATTGTGATGAATCACTGATTATTCATTGTAAAGATATAGTAGAGTGCTGAATGAATGGGTAAATGAGAGCACAGGTTGTGTTGTAAAGAGCTTTGAGTATCTCAATAAGATAGTAAAGCGCTATATAAGTACAGTCAATTTATGATTTATATTACCCCAACCAGATCACCACACCAAACAAAAGTAGTATCAGCATCACTTCCAACTGTAGACAAAAAAAATGAGTCTTCTCAAAAATTTATACACATTTTTTGAGACCTGTGGACGTGATTGTCTATATCATGACAGCAAGTGTGCTTAAACAGACCACATGAGTGAGAACCCCCACCACCATCACCACCCCTCTGTTCAGGATGCTGCTTCGTGATCTCAGCAGTGACCATAAGTCACCATCTGCTACACCACAAATATACACTCAGATTCTAGCAGAAGCCCAATTAATAACCATGACTTTTTTATTCTTATAATAAAAACACAATTTTGTTGTTTAAAAAAACCAAAAAACCTTAATCCCTTGAAAATAGTTGATAGAATTAAAAAAAAAAAAAGTAAATTTCAAGTATTTTAAATTCAAAGAATCAGACTTTTTTTTTTCGTTACGAGCATTCAAATGTGCCATTTAATCATCCATAATACACACCAAAACATTTTCTGGTGCACAAAAGACCCCAAGAACAGGATAAAGCCACCATAAGTTTACATTAAACTAAAGTGACTTTCACAACATAAACTAGACCTTATCCCAGGGGGCAAACATGTAACAAATGACCCGACAGATGCACCCATGACAGTGTTCCTGCTCTTGAGCATTGCTGCTTATATTTCCAGTTCACATGGCATGGTTCCACATCATGTGAGGCCTCTTCAGCCAGATTGCTGCTATGGTTTTATTGCAGCCTTGATTAGGTACATGTGACTGACTGGAAACCCCTGCTGGCAACAAGTTAGCGGTTGGAGAAAGGCAGAGATCTTCCAGAGCTCTGGATTGTAACAAGATGCAGTCACAAAGTAAAAGGCGTTCACTGGGAATTTGATTCCTCAGGCCATAAGGAGCAAGGCTAGCCCAACTCACCTCAATTCACACATCAACCACGGTGTTTGTGTAGTAGAAAAAAGGCATTTTCATTTTCTCAGGCAGCTTCAACTACCTCACAGAAGAAAAATGCCTGTCCTGCTTCAGTTACCACAGAAAAACCAGCCAAGCTGAGTTGGCAAGAGAAAATATTGGGGTCTTTTACAGACAAAAATTCTAAGTGGGGGTAAATGGAAATATGACCATTTTCCTGACATAAAAAGCATAACACGTCAAGACTAACTGGTGGTGTTTTCAAGAATAGTTTGGACTCCCCACCACCCCACTTTTTCTGCCCTTGGATTGTTTTTTCAAGGGATGGGGGCAAGAGCTGGAAAGACACGCAGTCCTGATTTGTATCAGTTTTGATGCCAACATAAATTGGTTGGCCAATTTTTCTCTTCCTGTTTCAGGGATCACTGCATAGTAAGACATTAGACATTTACCACATCAGAAAACCATTTAGAGTTTCAGAGTGGGAAAGCCAGGGAAGGTAGGGAGGCTAAAATTAATATGTCTTCCTAAAACAATAAAACACGACTGCTGCATTCTTGGAAATGAAATTGAGTCGAGGGGCTGAGATGCCACATGACTCCTGTGTGGTCCCAACTTCTCCCTCTTTTTTCTGTCTCTCTCCTGGTTCTTCCTGATTCCCTCACATTCTCTCTCCCCTCTTTTGTGGCTCTAAGCCTGTGGAGCTGGCGTAGGCCCTTCCTTTTTACACACCCCAGCGGGGCTTTATAAAGGCTGGGCCGGAGGTCTCGGCAGCCACACACACTCACTGCCTGTGCCTCTGCCTTTTGGTCTTGCTGCAGCTGGTTGTGTCATCCTCTTCAGCCTCCAGGTTGCGTGGATAAAAGATGCAAATGGCATATTGCAGTGCCACAAGTCTTCAGATTATCCTACTGGGCCCCATTCTGATGGCTGTAGGCCTGGCCACTATGAACAACCAAGGTGAGAAGACAATGAACATGGGATATAATTAGTAGTTTGTGGGCAGACTAATGTACATCAGCAGGTAACCTCAACCTGGAAACTCTGACTGTGTGAGCACAGACTGCTGAAGAGAACTTGACCTGCACTGATGCATGATCGTAACTGAGGTTTGTGGATGGGATGGAAACTCTCTGCAGATGAGCAAAACCTTGTGAGAGGATATTTTTGCCTGTGTCAACCTGGTAATACAAACTGTGGATTTGGGTGTTTGTTTTTCCGTTGTTACAGTACTTATTTATTCATTTTTTTCTAAAGGAAAGTTCCTTTTTTTACTTTGCCACAAGATGAATGGACAAATTTCAAGTTAAGTCATTTTGACACTGTAACTTCTGTTCTTGTTGATTTAAAGGTAACATTTAACTCAAAGTGGCAGCGAATGTTTAAAATAACAGTGTGCAATATTTATGTAGAAGATTTGTGAATTTATTCTTTGTCGTCAACTTTTTTTTTATGTGTGTTTGTTTTGGATATATCCACAACATTCATGCACATCTTTCAGCTCTAGTCTGTATATTTGTTTTATTGGATCAGTGCTACATGAACTTGAGAAGGAACCATCCTACTGGGACTCACAAGCAAAGGCAGCGCTGGATGCTGCACTGAAACTCCGTCCTCAAGAGCACCGAGCCAAGAACCTCATCCTTTTTCTTGGTGATGGTAGGTTCTGAGTTCAGCTTGATTTAAAGGAGTGCTTTCCTCATTACTGGTGCAGACAGTGGGACAACTGTAAATGTAGCAAACATTTTTTTTAAAGTTTCCTTGCTTAGGTAGGGTTTGGAATGTGTGAAGAGTAGAGATTTCAAATTTACATGTACAGTATAGATATTAGTTAAGTAAGTAAGTAAAACTTTTTTTACATAGCACTTCTCAAGATAAAAATCACAAAGTGCTTCGACGAAACAAAATAGCAAAAGCACAAAACAAATTAAAGCAAATACAGATTTAAAAAAGATGAGTTTTTAGCTGGCCTTAAAGGAAGCCACTGAGTCCGCTGATCTGAGAGTTTGAGGAAGGGAGTTCCAGAGTCTTGGAGCCACAGAAGAAAAGGCTCTGTCTCCTTTAGTTTTCAGTTTTGTCTGAGGGGACAATCAGCAGGTCTTGATCACAGGACCTCAAAGCCCTGATCGGGGTGAAGGGATGTAAAAGTTCCAAGATGTAAATTGGTATCTGTCCATGCAAAGCTCTCCAAGTCAAAACCAAAACCTTGAAACCCACTCGATAATGAACTGGGAGCCAATGGAGTTGCTTTAGAAGTGGAGTTATATGACAACATTTTGAAGATCCAATCAGGAGTCTAGCAGCAACATTCTGTACAGACTGGAACCGGTCTAGGAAGGTTTTGGTTAAACAAGTGTACAGCGCATTACAAACATCAAGGCGAGACGAAACAAAAGAATGAATTAAGATTTCCAATTCTGGACGAGAAACAGTACGGCTAAGCTTGGCAATATTTCACAGATGGTAGAAACAGGAACAAACTAGACTTGACATGAGTTTCCAGAGTAAAACCTGACTCAAAGGTTATCCTTCTTAAATAGTAAGCCATTGAAAAAAATTGTATGGAACAACAAAATCGGTGGTTAATTTGTGATTCTGCTACATTAAAATGTCTTACAGAACCAAGTTATAAGGGACCAGGGTGGTGTAGAGGGCAGCCGACTTGGGACCTGAAAGTTGCGGTTCGACTCCCAGTCATATGTCACGGTGTCTCTGAGCAAGACACCGAATCCTTAATTGCAACCCACCTGGGTGTATCTCAGGTCCAATGGGTTAAATGCAGCGAACCAATTTCATCATTGTACTGGAACGTACAATGATGACAACATATAGCACTTATAGTTTTTATTAATTTATGCAACTAGGTTAGCCTGTTTCAAATGTTTCTGATGACGTTCAGTTTTTTAGAAAACCTAGGTGCTTTAAATGTTGGTCTCCTGTCAGTGGTGTCCTGGTCATTTCAATAATCAAAAGATATTCAGCAGTACCAAAATATTTCTACGATTGTACTGTTAAAAATAATTTTTCTGCACATGCAATTTCAAGACTGAAAGCTTCCTAGAAGGTACAAAAGATAGCTAGCCTCGAAGCTAATGTAGACAGGTGTTTTAAAATATATTGTTACATGAACAGTCTGTTTAATTGTTACTTATAGTACAATTAATTTGGCCATATATAAACGCACTGGGATTTTGCAAAAATAAATGAATCGCATAAGATGAGATGTAGTAGTTGAATACTAGAGTAGATAGCAACTTATGTTAGCTAACGTTTGTTGCAGTTGTTTTGTCAGAATATAATTCATCCATCCATTTATACATCCATTTTCTTTAACTGCTTTTTTTTTAACGAGTCACAGGTATAATGCATGTCTCCATCAGTCAGAATACAAAGTACAATTAAAAGTTGTGACTAATCAAAACATAACCAAAACAACAGGTCAGGTGTTTATGGTGCAAGTGTCAACAACCGCAGCATTTTGTGACTTCATGACGTCTAGGAGGACATACTACAGTTATATTTTAAGTTTGCAGTGTAATCTCACAGTACTGCTATATCACTTTTACAAGCAATAAGGTTGCACCCAGTGATGGAAACATGTGTCTGCTTTGAATTTAATAAGACAGTTCTAAAATTGCACGAGATTAACTCAGAGCAGTTGCACAAGTAGGTTTTGAACCAGAACCAATTTGCTAATCTCCTTAAATGTATTGATTAGGTTTTTTTTTAACTTTCAAAAATTTGCAAGTCAATTTTATTATGTGCTATTAAATTATTTGGTGAAAGTCTTCTTTGCTGACACATTGCTCCATTTAGTAGTATCTTCATTTGTAATAAGTGTGGAAACAACAGTCCCTTCAAAGTACTGGCATAAACCTTGTGCTTTGCTTGTGCTGTGCATCTCTCATCATTAAAGTATTAAAAACATAATTTATCCCATGAAGTCTTCAGTGCACCTTTGCCATATTTGTTGCTTGGTTGTCTTATCTTTCATTCAATGCCTTAAACAGCGAGAGCCGGAGGGAGACAGTTTACCGGTACATCTGGATTAGATAAAAATTCTATAATGTTGTATTTACAGCTGGTGAAGCATTAGAAGAATCTGTTTAAAGGCAGAAAGATTAAAGAATTGTCTTCCACTTAACTAAAGTATCTGTTTTACATTAAGCATACTTAGTCACGTTTGTGGGTGGTCGGGGTTGAATTTTCTTTGTACATCTCTCTCGTCTGCCTTGCCCAAAAGTCTGACAATAATTTTATGGCTGTGATTTTTAAGTGAAATCTATCACAGCTGTTTTCTTCATCAAAGACTCCTAAAGCCACGGCACGGGCAAAATCCAAGAGTTAAAATACATTTATTAATTGCTAAACATGTGATTCATTTTCTCTAGGAGACTGAGATTAGAAGCAAGATGAAGTAAATGAACTGAATGTCTGTTTGGCTTGACAGGAATGGGCGTGTCCACCGTTTCTGCTGCACGAATCCTGCGAGGTCAGATGGAGGGGGGCTCTGGGGAAGAAACCCTGCTGGCCATGGACACCTTTCCGTATGTGGCCCTCTCCAAGGTGACTTTGAAATCTCAAATTTTAACAGAGTTGATGTAGTGTGGCAGGAGGTGTCATATCAGACCAATCAAGTTAAGTGACCAATTAGTTTCAGACTGGGCTTTTTGATTATGGAAGGGTAGACTGGTGGAAGACAGCATTTGTGAGAATTAAGGAACAAACTACTGTGATGAGTGAGGCTTTACCCAGATATAAGGATCAACGGAGACCAAGACTCAGAATCAGTTTACAGTGTTTATTTACAAAGAGAGCATAATGCAATAAGCCAGACTGGAACCCTGAGGAGCAAAGAGGTGTTTAGATTCCTTGTAGGGTGATAATGATGTTGCAGATTTTCCTTACAATAACCCAAATAGTCCCAGGCGAAGGAGGTGCAGGTGGTATGGGAATTGGTAGGAAGGCGTAAAGGCAGCTGATGAGGTCGCTTGAGGTTCATAGAGGAGGATTCAGGAAAACCGGAGGACATGGAAGGTAACTCACTGGAGGCACGGAGGAAAATACAAATCATTAATGTTTAGTTTTAAACAATAGTAGAAGGCAGGTAATGCTCCAGCGCTGGCTGAATGTCTTCTGAGGCCTTTTCTGCTCCTCATGCTCATCAAGTCAAAGATCCTCAGGTATAGCTAATAAGGATTAGATAAGATAAGATAATTAAAGTCTGACTGTGGGTGCAGGAGCTGGCAGAGCAGAACTCCCACAACTACAAAGGACATGAATAACAAGAAAATTGTAGCAGTTGGAAAAATGTGTAGAAACAGTAAAATAAAATAAAAACAAATGGCACTGTTCCAGCTCTTTTTTGGAGACCAATATTTAAATAATGACAGCTTTTCATTGTCACCCTCACTCAAAACCAAGCAATTTTTATGTGTAGATTTTAGAAACATCTACCAGAATTAATGCATCGAAGGCTAAACTGTTAAGAAAATAAATCTTTGAATGAATATGTGGTTTATGGCCGTTTGGCGAATTACGACAGTGCAACACACGGTGAAAAGAAGAAGTTAGAGGAGAAAGACAGATAGATCCTCTCAAGATGAATTCCCCAACTTAAAGATGGATGGTTTAGGAGGTTTTGTACGTTCTCATTTTTCTCTTTCTTTCCTCTAACATGCTCCATCTTGTTTCTGATTACCCCCTTTGCAGCCTAAGGTCTTAAACCTCACAGTGAAAAAATACTTTAAAAGATTTGGTTAAACTCCATACTTTACCTAAATTGCTGACAAAAAACTATAAACAGTGCACATTGATTTAGGGTCTCATGCAGCTTTCCGAGCAATCATAAGCCCTAAATTATTGTTACTTGAGTAACAAGAGGTTGAGTCTGTATTTATTAGTTGTGGTATTTCTCTCTTAACCTATCATTAGGACAATCTTTATACATTATTTAAAAAAAAATGTTTTTTTAGTTAGCGAGACCTTAGCGATCCTTCTTTGGGAAGAAAGAACAACTTAACATAACTTGAATTGCACTTTCACCCCGTCCTCATTTTTTTTATTGACAGTACACTACAAACCAGTTTGACATACCATTGCTGTAAAATGTCACACCAGAGGCTTTAAATGCAAAACAATGGCACACAAAATGTGTCCAAAAATGTTCTGTTTATGTTTATTGACATGGCTTCACACTTTAAGGTGAAATATTTCCCCAGTTCTATTTATTATGATTTATTAGGCTACAATAATTGCTAAATTCAACAGAAAATATGTGGAAAAATCAACCAAATAAAAAGAAATGAAAATGAAAATGAAAATGGCAGTGTATTTCAAAATAAATGGAGCTGATGAGACAAAGCATTGAAATATTTGCTTGTATACTGTATTAAAATAAACTGAAGTGTAAAGTGTATTTTTTTTTTAATCTTTCCTTTTATCCATTTGAATTTTCCATACATTCATATTTTATTTGTGTGTTTATAAACAAATCAAAGGGGAAGCAAAGTGCAGGACTAATCTGAGACTGAACCCACCATGTACTAATTATCTGTCTTATAATTATGTGTGTTTTTGTTTTCTTTCCACAGACCTACAGTGTGGATAAGCAGGTAGCAGACAGCGCCAGCACAGCTACAGCCTATCACTGTGGGGTGAAGGCCAATGCAAAAACAATAGGACTCAGTGCCAAAGCTGTGGCCTACGAGTGCAACACCACCTTTGGGAACGAGGTCTATTCAGTGTTACGACGTGCTAAAGCACAAGGTAAGAACAAGTGATGACTGAGAGCCGAGGGCGTGCTGAGTAATTATGGAAAGTTCAACCAGCTGAAACTGCATTTTAAAGACATATAATGAGCATAAAATGTGTGGAGCTAAGGAATCTTATGATAAGGATGCTACTACTAATATCTAACAAGGTTGAGTCAGGTTCGCTGGACAGATTCTTCTTTGTGAAATGTTTCGTCTTTTATCCAAGGACTTTGTCAGTCTGAGGTGCTGCAACAAACTCAGTCCTATAAATAGTACCTTCTCATAGTGGATCAGTCAGTTTGCTGGTGACAGCCAAAACTAGTTTTTCACATGCAAAAGGAGGATCATCAGTCTAAAAGATGAAATGTTTCAACAAAGAACCTGCCCAGAGGAACTGACTTAACCTTTATCTACATGGATTATTGAGCATGCATGAGGTCATAGATTTATTTATGCGATCCTGCCTTTAGTGATAGTCATTTTCCTGCATGATCCACCTGGGCTTTAAGACATGTATTTTTCTGTGGTTCTGATGTGAGTGTGTCTCTGGGTTGTCCAGGTAAATCAGTGGGAATAGTGACCACCACCCGTGTCCAGCATGCCTCGCCAGCTGCTGCCTACGCTCACTCTGTCAGCCGCAGCTGGTACAGTGACGCAGATATTCCCTCCAGTGCCCACGGCCACGGATGCGTTGATATCGCCACACAACTGGTCACCAACTTTGACATTGACGTATGACAGAACAATTATTTTGGGGCACCTTTTTTTTTTTTTAAAGCAACAAATGTATTTTCTAAATAACTGAATACAGTGCTTTAATACACAACTGAACAAAAGTTTATCTCCTTTAGCACCGTGTGCTTTTATTAGCTCTTTATGCTGATAAAGAATGTTGCAATATATTCTTGCAGTAGGATACTCATTTCATTAGACCAAGACTCGCGTTTCTAAAGTAACACAACCATTCAAGGACAGTTATGTTGAAAACAACTTTAAAACACATTGCTAAACTATATAAAGCTTTAACTTTATGTTTTTTTTGTCTCTCCATAGTTATAATATAGAAAGTTATAGTCCAATATTTCTAATTTTATGAAATGCTTTGTGCATTATTTTTGTGCATAAGTAGTTTTGCCTCCGTGTTTGCAACACATTAGTAAATAATTTATATTTTGGCAATGTGTAGTCTTAAGAAAAGAAAAAAAAGCACCAAATCATGCTCATTGTGATTTTAGTGTAATGTTTAATGCATTACATAAAAAAGCTTTTTATGAAATTCATACTATAATATTCAAGTGATGAGTTATTAAATCAGTTATATAAATATATATAATATGCAATCAAACAAATCACAGAAGTTTAATTAATACAATATTGCAGAACTGATTGTAATTAACCTGATTGTAGTTTATTAGAAGCAGCTTTTTCACAATGCAGTCTGCAGTTCAGTCCATTTTTTAACCCACTACATGCAATGGACCCAAAAGTAGCACACCTAGAGCAAACATGTCTTGGAAAAATAAAAAAAATCAATGGCACTTTTCTCTTTATATTCACCTTTTCTTTCACGTTCATTTTCTTCTTAGAAATTGTATGTAACGTTTCATTGCAGGCGGAAAAAAACAACAACGCCAATATTGTCTGATGTCTTTCTAAGGTGATTCTGGGAGGAGGAAGGATGTACATGACACCCAAAGGCTCTCCAGACCCCGAGTATCCAACATCCAGCTCTCGCAAGGGGAGCCGCAAAGACAAGAGAAACCTCATTGATGTGTGGCTGAAGGCCAAACCAGTAGGGTTTTTGAACTTATCCTGAAACATTGTAAAAGTAATTTTAGGAACTTCGGCTAACTTCTGTTTGCGTTTCAGAACAAAAAGTCACACTATGTTTGGCACAAGAAGGAATTTGATGAGATCAGTCCTAAAAATACTGACCGTCTTATGGGTGGGTATACAATTCTGTCAACAATGAGAAATATTTATCTGTTAAAAAAAAAAAAAAAAAAAATCAAAGGGTTAGAAACTAAAAGTAGTGCGATATGATTGTTTTTCATCTTTACCGATGGGTCAAAGGGGACATGGTGGTGTTCTATATAGATTTTCTGTTAACTGGACTATCAGTGTCTATTATAAAGTATGTGGCAATGACTCAATGATGCATTCTTTACTGTGATGATGTATATAATCATAACACAGTCTTTATCACTCTGCTATCAACTTCTCCACTGATATGAGTCGTATTTATGTCCTTCTTGGACTGGAGTTTGTCTTTATTGCATCTTTTTAGTTCATAAATTACTTGAGCACTCACGATTTATCTAATTTGTTCTTATGTAGCACCACAGTGTATCATATATGACCTGATATTTTACTTTCTGTGGTTCCAGGTCTTTTTGAGCCCAAGGACATGAGGTTTGAGGTCTTTCGAAACGTCACACGAGATCCATCTATTGTGGAGATGACAGAAAAGGCCATTCAGATCCTCAGGAAGAATCCAAAAGGATACTTTCTGTTCGTAGAAGATGAGTACTAAAAAGATGTTTGCAAAGCCATATAGGGAAATTTGCTTTGCTATATTAGAATGAATACTGTTGAACTGTGCAATCAGTCGTTAAATGAAAAATGTATGCCTAAAATGTTTTGAGCTTTATGGAACTGTCTTTTCTTTTCTGCTGTAGCACGAGGGAGAATTGATCATGGCCACCATGACGGCATCGCCAAACTGGCCCTGACAGAAGCTGTGATGTTTGACCATGCCATTCAGCGAGCTGCACGGCTCACCAGAGAATCGGACACTCTTACAGTGGTGACCGCTGACCACTCTCACGTCTTTACCTTCGGTGGCAACACACCTCGAGGGAACCCCATCTTTGGTACATTTCAAAGCACAAACACTTTGATGCTCATCATATTAAAAGTAGGAAAATAGACTTTTAAAGTGTATTTGGGTTAAAGCCAAATAAGAATAGCTAAAATGCCAAATGTTTTTTTTATGTTAACTGCTTGTTATGCACTTTCATTTTTGTGACAAAGTGTCAGAGAATCAGCATAGTTTGCCTTTACAGAAGAATCCTGCACATAACTAATATTACTGACATTCTCCTACCACGATTCAGGTCTGGCGCCAAAGAATGCCGATGATGAAATGCCTTTCACCAGCATCCTTTATGCCAACGGCCCTGGTTATGTGCACATAAATGGAACCAGAGGGAACATCACAATGGTAGATTACTGTGAGTACAAACTAATGTTTTTCAGATGCATGAACTCCTCTGTGCTGATGTGCATACAGACAGATTTAACTGATGTGGTTATGGCTGACTCATGCCTTTGTTAGTCTGTGACAGCAAAGATGAAACAAGTTGTTTATGGCAGACGCAGTCCTGCCATTTGTTTTGTTCTCTCCACAGAACCCACTAGGTTCATGCAACTGCGTTTAGAAGGCATTTACTTCTTTTTGTGAAACACTGAACTTTCTTTTCTTCTTGTTCTGCATAATTTACCTTCCAGTTTTAATGCAATGACTTTGCATGTTGAGGTATGTCAAACCTGAAAATAAATATGCTCCAAAAGCATATAATAAACTTATTTTAGCCAATTTTTGTATTTTTAATGGACTGACATTATGTTTTTGGAACTGGAAGTTATATTTCATAAGCATATACACTCAACCCTTCTGGCACCTGAGTGGATTTGTTTTGTAAAATATATCCATATGGAGAGGCATGAAGCATTGCAAAAGTCGGCGTCTGCACTCTGATGAATGATACGAGACCAGAAATCAACTGCAACGTTTCAAAAGTAAAAAGCATTAGAGAGTAAATTTTCCAAGACACGTCTACAGCAATTTTCTAGCATCATGGGAAAAAGATTGTATATCTGGAACACATAAAAAGATTGCAATATTTTCATCACAATATTTTATCAGCACTTTATCTCCATGCTGTGCTTGTTTTTCCTAAAAACTCAAACATTGTTTCAGTAAAATTCATCAAAAGAACTTTAGTTTTAAGAATGCTGGAATTGCATTTAATGAGGCCTATTACAGTTCTGTTAAACACTATTTCATGAGCCAAACAATCAACTGAAAAAAAAACAAAAACATGTATGAGTTAAAGTAATCCAGTTATCTGTATAATATCTTAAGTGATACCATTAAAGAGCATAAAAAGCCAAGATTTTTTGCTGTAATACAGTACAGATGTTTGTTTGTTTTTTTCATATTAAAAATCCATCCTTCCATTATCTTTACCCGCTTGTTTCTTTTCGGGTCGCCGAGGTCACTGGTTCCCATGTCCAGCAATCATTGTGCGAGAGGCGGGGCACACCTTGGACAGGTCTCCAGTCCATCACAGGGACACATAGAGACAAACGAGACAAACACCCATTCACTCTCTTACTCACACCTAGGCACAATTTAGAGTTACCAATAACATGCATGTTGTTGGTCTGTGGGAGGAAACCAGAATACAGTAGTCCCTTGTTTATCATGGGTGTTAGGTCATTTTGAGCGGGAATACAGTGGAGGCTTACTGAGAGAAAACTACAAAATGGCGGCGCCTGTCTGAAGTATTCTATTTTTTCCTTAACTTTTTACTGTACAGTACTGTATCCAGTACTATCCCAATCACATGAGTAATATTAAAGTTGACAGTCATGTGTCGTACACTTTTTTCTGTACAACATTATGGACTGTATGTTCCCAAACCATGATAGAGCGAGTTCGTCAAAGTCAAACCGTGAAGTAGCGAGGGACTACTGTACCCAGAGAAAACCCAAGCAGGCACGGAGAGAACATGCAAACTCCACCCAGAAAGGCCCCGAGCCGGGATTTGATCCAGCAACCTTCTCATTGAGAGGCAACAACTCTACCAACTGAGCCATCGTGGCACCCATATTCAAATATCTTATTTTCATTCTGTTGAGTGTGTGATATCAGTAAAAGTATTCTAGGTTGACACATTGTTTTGTTCATATAGTTACAACTTACCAGTACTTTCTAAATGTCCCTCTTTGTAGACGATGAGGAGTACATGCAGCAGGCTGCTGTCCCGCTGGATGCTGAGACGCATGGAGGAGAGGATGTAACCATCTACGCTAAAGGCCCGATGGCTCACCTGTTTCATGGGGTGAAGGAGCAGAACTACGTAGCTCACGTCATGGCCTACGCCGCCTGTTTGGAGCCATACAGAAACTGCCCTCCTCACCCACACAGCCGCTCATCAACTGAATGTTTGAACGCACATTTAAGCCTTCTATGTGGCATGCTTGGACTACTCTTGTTTTGTAGATGACCCCAGTAAACACACACACACTAAAAACTATGCACTAAACACTCATGGTGTGTATGAGAACAGGCTGGCGAACTGAAAATCCAGGTTTTAACACTGACAGTGCTGTAGTTGTTACCAAAACAACCTACTCAGAGATGTCACTCACATACACAAAGTTGCAGGTTACCAAGTCCGCATTAAATTGAACATTTGCCTAAAATAACTTTAAGCAAACAAGCAGACCCGGGGAAAGTTCCTCTCCAGTGTTTGGACTCGGTGGCAGGACAGTGGTGCTTGACTGTGACTGTACAAATGGAAAAAATGAAAATAATGGTAAATGAAACCTAAACTATGAACAGTTTTGTTTCTGCTACATTATTAAATGACCTTTCACAAGCTCAAAAAGGCTCTTTTTCTCTGCCTTACACAAATAAAGAGCATAGTTGTGGGGTTTTTTGTGTGTGTTTTTGACATTTTACACTCAAATGTCTTATGCTGAACCGTTATTAAATGTACTAAATGTGTCCTGTTTAAATTGCAAATGAAAACATTTTGTAAGTGAGTTGTAAGTGCAGTTTGAATGTATTTTTATACCTTTTTTTCTCAGATTTATAGATATAAACATCCAGCTTTTCTGATGAGTCTCTTTGTTTTTATTTTATAGTTTTTTTCAAGGTAATATCCAATTTGTGGATTCCTTGGTTTAGAACAGAATTAATGGGTCTGATAATTTATACATTTTCCATACAGAATTTCTTAACTTCTGTTAAAAAATAAACTCAGTATGGTTTAGTTGAGATTTGTCAGATATAATAATAACAAAGAGAAGCATCTGGCCTCCTTTGTGACACCTTAACATCTAGATATTGACAGATAATAATTTAAGAGATCTTGGCAACGATCATTCATGGTCCACTATAATTATACACATGTGAAATAATATGACAGTTTTTAATATGAACCACATTCATACAGAAAACAACCAATGAAAGCAAAATGACTGTCAGTTTAAAAAGATGTCCTTCAGATGTCTTACCTTACCTTTCAAATCAGAGGTTTTAAGGATCTATAAAAGCATCACAGTACTTAAACTAAAGGCACTTGGACTCCTATTTTTCTTTATTCTTAAATATATGTGCCGTCTGTTATGAAACAAAAAAAAACTTGATTACACCAAACCAAACTATAATCTGATGACTGGAATCCTCACTTGCATAATTCTAAATGCTTAATCTTACAAAAATACAAATAAATCTGTTTCTTTATTCTTCATTTTAGCTACACCAAAGTCTATGTAAAAGTGCTGAAGATTTCAAACTCCACTCATGAACAGATTCACCTGCACGCAGTAATGCACATTAAATTATTTTTTCCACAAATAGTTGTTTAGAAACAGAGAACTTTCAATCAGAGGAAAATGAATTGAAGTGACACTGCAATCCAGTTATGGACTGTACAAAACATCATATGCGTCATTAGCCCATCAAACTACAATGTTTTATGGTAACTATAAAAACTAATGATTAATAATATTTAGAATTCACCAGCCAGTGTTCTAATGTATGCACTAAGGATTACCCAGAACTAATGTGCACAGAGATAAATGCAGATAATAGATTTATTGTATCGTATTTAGGTTTAATGAGTAACACTTTCAATTCCACAGAATTCTGTCTGGAAAAATTACGTTTATAGATTTCTGTGTTCTAAAATACTATTTTATTTATTTTTTGTCTGCTTCCTTCTTAGGGGGTTGCCAGGGGTGATTCTAGAATTGGCCCTTTAGGGGTGATTAGGGGGTGGGGGACATACTGGTGTATGTGTGTGTGTGTGTGTGGGGGGGGGGGTATCTGGGGGTCTTCCCACATAAAATTTTGAATAAAGTTAATTCAATTTCCTGCATTCTGGTGCATTTTAACAGGTTTTTAAACATCTACATTTACCTAAACACTCGATTTAATAACTAGTTTAGAGAACTCGACACAACAAGAAGTAGCGCTAAGCTAGCGGCGAGCAATGCAGATGTACTAGCTAATATGCTACAGACGTAGCATTCTGCTTTACATTACACAACCTAATAAATGCTTTGTACAAAATCAGTTTAGTGTTAACTGATCATAGCAAAGATTAAACTTGTGCAATCAGAAGTAGCAACAGTTATATCTACATTTGAAAACACACACAAAACAAAGCACAACTAGCTTTAAGCATTCACCTTTAATTTTACCATTAAGTATATAATGTAATTATGACAAAAATTTAAGATTTACTTGCAGTGACCTTCATAAAGACGAACATGTGGAACTTCCTGTTTATCACTGTTGTATCCAGCTGCGCAATGAGGTCGGCTGAAGGGCTTAATCCATCTTTGACATTTTTCCAAACTTCGTTTAGGTTTAGGAAACTGAAAAAAACCTGTATTGCATCATCAAAATGCCCAGGGTAACGCTGTCTGAATTACATGTTCTTCGCTGACAACATTTCACCATTTTTTTCTGATGATTTTTCACAGAATCCCTCTGACCGCAAAGCGTTCGAAATGCAAAACCCGGACAGTGTTGTCAAAGAAAAAGGGGGCGCAGCTCTGCAGGTGAGGAGTGTTTCACTTCAGGGACAATTTGAGAAAGCTGACTGGTCAGTTGCTGACAGGCCTGCTGGGTCCGATTGATTAACAGGTGGCGTTGAGGATCCAACTCGTGCAAAAAAAAAAAAAAAGATAATCAGATTTTACTGGCCTGTTTAAGAGTGTCATAAATTTATTTCATATCTATTCCAAATGTATTCAATATTTTGGTGAATCTAAGGTTTGAGACCTAAGTTTCCCTACAAAATCCCAATGATGGTTTCTTTATTTTTCAGGGGTGCTGAGTTAAAATTTAGGTGTGCTTGAGCACCTCCAAAAAGAGGCTAAAATTTCCACTGGTGGTTGCCACAATGAACTGACTTGCACAAAGACTAGACAATTGATTTTACTCTGAATGTATTTCCTGACGCAACCACAGACCACTGAGCTACCACAGACCTCTTTGTGGAGCAGAGAGCTGCCATCTAGGGTGCCTGGTAGAGCAGATGGTGGGGGTTAAGAGCTTTGCTCAAGGGCCCAGAGTGGGGCTAATGAAGGCGGAGGAGGTGTGGGTGCTTCACCTTTCCAACCCACATTTTGATGTTGTTGGTCCGGGGAGTCTAACCAGCGAACTTCACAGGCTCGCCTTCTCCAATCTCTGTGCCACCTCTCCCACCTTGCATGTCCTAAAAGACATTATTTCATGAAAATTAAAATACAATTAGAAAGTAAAACATGATTGCAGTACAGCTAAATGTTAGTAATAATAGTATTTTAATGAACAAGTGGGATGTATCTGCCTACAGTTTCCACTATTCTACCATCTACTGAGTCTTCACAGGCTATAAAAACTCCCATTATTCACCATCTCATTGCATTTAATTAGTGCATTGAGAACTTAGAGCCTACATTTATTAGAATATCCATGCACAATTTGTCACCTCTTCTATTTTAGTGAGTGTGCTGTCACATTTTCTTATGCACATTCTGGCCCTAACAACGATGTGCCCTTTGCTCCTGCTGCAGCTATAAAAAAAACTTGCACAGTTTAGTAAACGCACATGTAGGCAGCACAATGGCAAAGACACACAAGCTCGTTTTCACTGGATTCTTGATATTCATCGCAGTGCAGTGGACTTGGTGCATATCAGGTAAGAATTCTCTTCATATCGCTGCTGCTAAATATCATCCATCCATTTTCTTTAACCTCGTTTTAAGTGTCATGGGGGAGCTGGTGCCTTTATCTCCAGCAGTCCCTGTGCAAGAGGCACCATACACCCTGGACAGGTTGCTAGTTCATCACTGGGCCACGTAGAGACAAACGACACAATGATTCACTTTTACTCCCACCTAGAGATAATTTAGTTGCCAATTAAATTGGCATGCACATTTTTGGTTTGTGAAGAAACAGGAACACAAAGTAAACACATATGTGCACGGGGAGAACATGCAAACTCCACAAAGAAAGGCCAGGAGGCTCTCCTGCAACCCTTTCACTGTAAGACAACAGTTCAGACCACTTCATCACCGTGCCACCACATCTCTATTAATTATCAGTTTGAACTAAAACGTTGCTTTAAGATGATAAGGAAATTTTAAAGACAAGTGGTAGAAAATTTTCTAAAACTGGTTAAAAACATTTGCTAACTAAAATCGCAAACTTGAACTGCAACATATACCTTCTCCACTGTTACATTTCAGTGATTTTTTTTTCCTGATCATTTTAATACTGCTTACTTCTACATTTTACATTTGTTGGTTTAAACGATGGAAGACTTGACCATTTTATCCTCACGTGGATCACGTGCAATCATTGATTTTTCTAGTTGTCACCATCTTCATGCATTTGTCTTGCTCGTAGATGATGAGCGCCATGCTAGTTACTGGAACAACAAAGGGAAGCAGGCTCTTCACACTGCTCTGAATATTCAGCCTAATCTGCACCGAGCCAAAAACCTCATCCTTTTCCTCGGGGACGGTGAGTTTTTCCTACATTAGAGAAATGTATTTAACTCGTCAAGTATTTACCCAAGTTCTTTTATTCAGAGGGGAAAAAAGCTTGAAAGTGTAAGATTTCAGCGGTTTAACCCCAGAAATGAAAATTAATTAATTAATTAATTAAAATAAAATGAAGTGGGAGGGGATGGAAAAGGGACACTTCTCTGGTATTAGTAAAAACAAACGAAAATAGATTTTTGCTGGGTAAAAAAGCTGAATAACAATTTTAATCTTGGCTTTTTATGAAACTTGCCAGTGTCCACGTCACTTTGTGGGATTGAAGAGCTTTACTGACCAGTGATCTGCACACATTCATGTTCAGAGGGAGTCCACTCCCTCTGAACATGCTGAATGCAGCATGTTTCAGGTTTTATCAGTGTTTGAGATTGATCAGTAAAATGTAATCACTCCATAATTGGCCCGTTTATGATGTTTATGACAACAAATCAAAGTCCTTCCAGTAAATGACCCTGTTTATACATCACGGGGGTAGGGAGTGCATGTGTCCTCAAACATCACCAGGTTTTTGTAATTTGTATATATTTTTTTCACTTTATGTAAACTTTATATACAGATGCACAATAAAAAATACATTAGTGTTTTATCTAGAGGGGAGCCAACTGCATGAGTATTTTATTAAAGACAACACAACTTCTGATGATGATTGCTGGACAAATGCTACTGAACTTTAATGAATATCACGAGGTTCAGCTCAATGACAGAATTATGATTTTTCTCCCCTTTACCTCTCAGGTATGGGTGTAGCAACAGTGACTGCTGCCAGGATCCTGAAAGGCCAGTTGGCAAATCATTCAGGAGAGGAGAGCAGTTTAGTCATGGATACCTTCCCTCGCCTGGCACTGTCAAAGGTCAGCACACTCAGACGCCACAGACTGCTCAGTAAAATGCCATTAATGATTTCACGCATGTCCTCAAGGTGAAGAAAACCATTAAACAATGGTAACCATTAACGGCTGTAAAAAGGGAACACACTGTGTCATAACATAAGTAAGAACCTCTGGTAACATTGGTGTGCTGACTACTTTTTTGTAATAATGTAAACTACTATTTATTATTTTGTTGATGTAGACACCAGTTGGAAAATTGCTACCTATCTATTATAATATTATACTAGAATGAAATAAACCTTGAAAATACTAAGATATTTTAGTTTTTTTAATAACTTTTTGTATATTTTATTTTGTTCCTTTATAGATTAATGGCATGCAATAAATTATTAACCCTGCATGGTAAGGGCTGTTGGGTTATTATCAAAAATAATGTTTACATTGTTTTTCACAGAGTTGATGACTCTAGTTTGAGTCTTGAGTCAGGGTGTAACACAAGCCATCTTTAGGTTTTACTAAACATGAAAAAAAAAATGTAAAAACTGTTAGATGTTTTTTTTTTTTTTCCTCTCTTTACAACTAGTTGACCAAATGACCAAGACTTACTAACAGACAAATTACTTAAGCTGTCTTTCAGCTTGCCAAAAAATGCCTTCCTGTCAGAATCACAAGAAACTTGAAGGGGAACTTAATACATATTAATACAGATTTTTTTAATTTAATTTAATTTAATTTTTTTATAAATCTAAATTAGCTCATTCTTTTGAAAAGTCATTTTTAACCAAACAGCAAAGATTTTCCAGTTTCACTGTCATAAGTCATTCAGTGTCATTTAAACAAGGCAAAACAAAACAAGGCAACAACTAGACAGATTTAAGATTTAAAATTTAAGGTATCATTTTAAGTCTTCACAAATCCCTACCCTTAAAGTTACCTTCATTCTTAACGGGTAAATAAACTCAAATTTGTGAAGCTTGTAAGAGTTGACGGTACCATTTTAAAAAGTCCAGCTTTTCTAACCACAATTGAGTTAATGCCCTTTTGTATGAAAAAATGCTGGCAAATAATTTAAATAATAAATTCTAATGTGGCAGATGTGTTTGTCTACGTTTGGTCCCTGCAGACATACAACGTGGACCAGCAGATGCCAGACAGCGCTGGCACAGCAACAGCGTACTTATGTGGTGTCAAAGCCAACTATGGCACCATCGGCGTCTCGGCTTCCGCTCCAAGGGACGATTGTAAAGCTTCTCGTGGCAACGAGGTCACATCTGTTCTGCACCGTGCCAAGAAAGCAGGTAGGCTCCCCATCGACAACGCCTTGTCAACATACTCGAACCCCCACTGTTCTGTGATTGTTCATCAGGGGAAGTCTTTCTGAAAAAACAAATAATATGACAGCCCAGATGGCTTTGAACTGAATTATTTTTACAGCAAATTCACTCCGAGGACATTTTGCATTATTACGTACACAGTTCTTATGTTTCCATTGTGACAAAACAAGTATTATTTGTTTTGTTCAGGTAAATCAGTTGGAATTGTCACAACTACAAGAGTGCAGCATGCCTCTCCGTCAGCAAACTATGCACACTCTGCTAACAGAGACTGGTATTCCGACTCTGACCTCACATCTGAAGCCGTCCAAAATGGCTGCCGGGACATTGCCTATCAGCTGGTTCACAACACAGAGATAGATGTAAGTCTTTGTATGTGGATCACTCCTTAGTCTCTTGAGTCAGAAAACCTCCAGAAATATGTTTAAGAAGCTAAATTACAACTTCTATACTTTACTCTTAGTTGTTTTTGTTTTTTTTTTTACTTCAGAGAATACACTAGTTTTAAATGCAAAGGGATAGTGTACAGATGAATAAAAACACTTTTATCATCACTTTCAATGCAGGTCATTCTTGGTGGAGGTCGTCGATATATGTTTCCCAGAACCATGCAAGACCCTGAATATCCAGATGAGAAAGGAGGACGAAAAGATGGACAGAATCTTGTTGAGGAGTGGGCAAAAAACAAAAAGGTAAATGCATTGGCACGCAAATTCCTGTTTAGACTTTGAATTAGTGTTAATGTCTCTCCTACATCACTTTTCTGGTCTGTTTACTGTGTATGAACATCATTTCTAATGTTTTTGCTGTTTGTTGCTGTTCATGGTACACAGCGAGCTAAATATGTTTGGAACAAAACTGAATTTGATGCTGTCAATGCTGAACAGACAGACTTCCTGCTGGGTAAGAACCTACATTTTCACATGGCAAATTGACATAAAATGATTTTTAGAACTTAGTCTTGCAACTTTCTTTCTTTTTATCCCCTTTCCTTTAGGTCTGTTTGAGCCAAAAGACTGCCGATATGAGTTGGAGCGTGATCAGACCATGGACCCGTCACTTACAGAGATGACAGAGAAGGCAATTAAGATTCTTAGCAAGAATCCTAAAGGATTTTTCCTGTTTGTGGAAGATAAGTTTATTTCTACAATGCAATACTTTTTTGAGGGGTGTTGGTGCTGCACTGTCTTAGAAGATTTAGTGAAAATATAAAATGCAGCAGTTTGGCGTAGTTCGTTGTAGCAGTTTTGTGCTCTGAATGCTACATTTTTTATATTTTAACTGTTAGATTTGACTTAAACTAACATTAAATAGTTTGCATTTAACACTTAATACCACTTTTAAAATTACTTTAATGCTAGAATTTGCATTAGTTTTACCAAAAGATCTAATCAGTGTTTTTTCCACACACATTTTTTTTTTCCTGCAAAGGAGTGCTTTTGATGCTTATCTGTTCGTGTTCTTGTTTGTCTTCAAGGGGGAGGATTGATCATGGTCATCATGCCGGGCAGGCCAAAAAGGCTCTACATGAAGCTGTAGAGTTCGATATTGCAATTGGGCGAGCAGCTGAACTCACAAGTGAACTGGACACAATGACTGTTGTCACTGCTGACCACTCGCATGTGTTTGCTTTTGGAGGGCATTCTGCCAGAGGAAACTCTGTTTTTGGTAAAAATGCACTTTGAGAAAAATGATTCTGGTTGATTGATGCATAAAACAAAAGAATTTGAATGGATTTTAGTGTGATAATCTATGTGTCCTGTGGTTCTTAGGGGTGTCTCGTGGTTTGGCTGAGGACAAGAAGCACTTCACCACTGCTGTGTATGGAAACGGACCAGGATATCAGATTGTCAATGGAAACCGTCCTGATATGAATGAGTCAATTTCATGTATGCAAACTTTGATCTTCTCGGTAAAAAAAAAAAAAAAAAAAAGTTGTAATGTAACAGCACCATCTAATGGACAGACAAAATACTTTATGCACACACACTAACCAGAAGTAATGTCATGTTTTAAAATAACACAAAAAGCTCTCACATTATGACAGAATGTTTCCTACTTTCAAGTGATTTGTGTGTAATTGTTAGAAACAATGACCCCAAAAATGCTACATTTTTTTCCACACATTTTATTTTATTTTATGTTTTTGCATGTCTGTCTGAAATCTCTAATAAATCTAATATATATGTTCTTCTATCTCACTTTGCAACAGCAACGGATAACTACCGCCAGCAGGCTCCTGTCCCTATCGACTCAGAAACCCACGGTATAGAGGATGTGGCTATCTTTGCCAAAGGACCAATGTCACACCTTTTCCATGGAGTTCAAGAACAAAGCTACATTGCACATGCCATGGCTTATGCTGCCTGCATAGAACCCTACGAAAACTGTGAGCTACCTGATCATGCAGGAGCATTTCACCCCAGCCTTGTTCTTCTTCTACTGGGCCTCTTCCTTACCCTCTCTGCCTGAGATTAGAGTCCCAGTATTTCACCAGATGATGGATTAACTTCCTGATGTTTCACTTTGACTGAAATATGAATTATTGTTAAAGAGTTGTGGATTTATTTAGGAATATTTTTCTTTAAAGCAAAACATGAATTACTCCTAAACGTGCTGTAAATAATTTAAGTATTATATACTGTATATGAACAAGTTTGACATCACTGCCATTCCAAGACATTTACATTTGTGCAATTGTAGCAATGTGCCTTTTAACACTGTAATAAATGTATATGTCTAAAAAAAGACTGGAATAAATTATATATATGTACTTTGTATATACAGTATATATACTATATATATATATATATATATGTGTGTGTGTGTGTGTGTGTGTGTGTGCGTGTGTGCGTGTGTGCGTGTGCGCGTGTGTGTGTAATAAACTGATAAATAACCAACTTGTTAAAGAAATCCTGTGACAACAATAGCAAATAGGACAGGCGCTCACATCCACAAAATTTTGTAAAGTATAAAGTAGATGTAATAAATACTAGGGGTGTAACAACACATCATTTTAAATTGATATATCAATTAAATGATTAATGATTCAATTATATTGTGGCAAAACTAAAACATCAATTCATATTGTCATCTTTAAAATACACTTTTATTTTGAAATTCCCAAGGCACATCTGTGTCACCATTTCTATGCGTGGCTGCTCTATGCGGCCACCTCAGCATCATGGCAGACGAGGCAGAAAACACAGATATTGAAATTCACTCTCCTGCTGGATTTAAATCAACACTAAATATTTTTTAATTCCGACAGAAGGACAGCTCAACAGACAAACTCCTGCCGTATAACAGGTGCCAGTGTGAGTTAAAATACTCGGTAAACACAATAAATTTGGCCGTTCACTTGCAGAAATATGGCATTGATAGCCATGTTATGTAAGCTCAACATCTTTTTGCGTTTCTTTATTACTGAAAGGTAATCAGGGCACTTTTAAGTTAACTGGTTTAAAAAATGCACTTAAACATGAGAAATGTGAGACTATACTGAACAGGTCATTTATTTTAATTTTTTCATGAATTAAGAAAAACAGTTGTTTTTTTTATTTAAATGCCGGGTGCCTATAATAACAGAAATAAAATGGTTCAATCATATTTGAATTGTTGTAAATTTATTTATATGTAAATTATATGGGCATTTGATATGGTAATATATCGATCGCAGACTTGTGAATCGGATAGAATTGAAATCGTATCGTAACAGACTTTGCGATATTGAGAAAAATTGTATCGTCATACAAACAAATCAATATAATATCGTATCATGGTAAAGCTGGTGATTTAGATCACCAGTTACACCCCTAGTAAATACAGTATGTGGTTTCCTGGCGCTCAGCATATCAACAGCTACATTTGACCCCAATTATTCATTCAACCTTTATTTATACAGGTTAATCCCATTGAGCCTCGGGGACTCATTTACAAGAGAGACCTGATGGACAACAAAGACAACAATAGACAATCATAAAGGATGTGTACAAATAGAGATTTTTTAACAAGTGAAAATAAAATGGCAATTAAAAGGAAAGTAGCAAAAAAAACAACAACAACAAAAAAAAAAAAAAACAAGCATCTTGTAGGGCGGTGTAGAAAACTAAAAACAAGAATATGTCTGCAATGTTTTTTCCCCATGAACTTAAAAGATGTTTAAAGCCACTTAGAGAAGGTTGAGAGCTTCAGATCTTTTTGCAAGAAATTCCAGGAAACAGGAACAGAGTAGGAGAAGGCCCTTTTGCCTATCAGTCGTTACAGAGGGAACACTGCTGCATGTATTATAATTAAAAACACTTTCATCAAGCTGAGGAGCAATGCAATTATTAACATTCTTTGGAGTCTCTCATAGTTTAATTTTATTTTATTTTATTTTACATGCAACACTATTTCCTTGTGCACACTACTTAAACAGTTTAGCATCATTTAGCCTAGCAAAAAATGCTTTACTTAATATTATGAAGGCTGTACCATAGTACTGTAAAAGTTTAGAGAGGTACAAATAAAAGCAAAATAATAGACAATATTAGTTCAGCTTAACAGTAAAAAAACAAACAAACAAACAAACAAACAAACAAACAAAAAAGCTTTAGCTGCTTAGTTGGTGCAACAAAAAAAACCTTTCAGCAAGGTCGTTTCTGATTGGTGAGAAAATTGTCCAATCAGAGCTCCGGATTGATGAACAGTTGTTCAATCAGGAGCTCCCTTGGGGCGGGACTTCCGTGTTTTTCCTTGGAGGGAAGTTTAACCGAAACAGTCCGTAGATACACTTAAAACTTTAAGGGTATTGTTAAAACCAAATCCCCAAAACATATTCAGTTAGCATGATAACAGTTTTCATGCATTTATTGTCAGCTATATGCATAGAAAAAGAAACTATGTGTGTGAGCACAGAAACGTTACCTGCTTCTGGAGTAGCTCCGTAAGCTAACCCTCGATTATTTATTGATTCTCTGACATGAGCTAAACGGGAATGTGCTGCTCATATTTTGAGGTAGTTTTCAACAAATCTGGGGGCCATGGACCGCAAACAAAAGATGTTGGCTAATCAGCTGTGTGCAGCAGTGAACGAAGGAGATCCCAGGTACCGATCAAGACTCTTTGTTTAGCTCAGACAAGCCCCGAATGTTTGTTGTTGTCCAGGAGGTCCAGCCATCTTGTTTCCGCTGCAGTGTTTTTTAAACGAATCTGAAGTTGCACGCTTCTTTTGCTGTCACAAATAAAGCGGTTTTTGAATCTCCGTTTCATCCAGAGTCCCTACAAGCACAATTATAAATGGGATTAAGTTAGATGGTCATTGCAGGGGTGTAACTCTAGACTTTAGCCATATTTTGAACAAGACAGTCTCAGTCCAGGTGTCTGTGTTTGTGCAGCTGTGGTGTACAGATATATGTCAGCCACAAAGTTACAGTCTTCAACTTATATTTAGTGTTTACAGTTTGTTAATCAGATTTGCCTTTTGGACTTTAAAGTATGATCAAAATAAAGTCAATTGATAAGTTTTCACCAAGCAGCAATGAAAGTAACAGCACAAGCAAAACCGCAAACATCATATATACATAAATCAAAAAGTATTTTAAGTACAACTTATACTTTTGAGCCTCATGAATAGTCTGGTATTCCTAATTTGCCTTTTAAATAAATAGTCACAAATGAACAGTTACAAATAAATATACAGATGGTAAGGTGCTGAAAAATAAATTACACAGGTGCAAACAAGGTGCAAAGTAGTTGTAATAGCTGTTTAGTAAATGACTGTTCGACAAAGCCTGTAATACTGATTAATTTAGTTTAGAGTATTATACATTGTTTGTGTCAAACAAAATTGACAGATGTGACAGTAATGTGTATATCATACTAAATGAAAAAACAAGATATTTAAAGTTTTAGCTCTGATCAGTCAACATCTAACGTTCTTGTTCTGACATCACTGCATTCCTTTGAATATGCAGAATTCTTAAATACAACTTTTTTTTGTTTGTTTGGTATTTTTTGCTGACTGTCTCACTCCTTTTTCAATAGAACTGTGTTTGTAGAAACGTAACAGACTTTGTTTTGGCAGATCTGTGGAGTTGCTCCTTACACAAGGTGCAATTCCTGACCTGGTAGGGACTAAAGGCGTGGCTGCGATACATTTGGCAGTTGGTAAAGAAGCTGAGAAGAACATCCGCTGCTTAAAAATGTTGCTACAACATGGAGCAGACCCCAATGTCAAGTATGTTAAGTGTTAAACACTACCCAATCTGCTTTTATATTTGTTCTGCATTATTTCTGGAGCAAATAAATCTGATTGCTTTATGTTGTATTTTCACGTATTTCTTCCAGGTCACCTGAAGGCTTGACTCCTCTTCATGTTGCAGCATCATGGGGATGTTATCAAAATCTCAAGCTGCTTTTAATGAATGGAGGAAACCCAAATATTAAAGATGATGTAAGATTTTATTTAAAGTTTCTGTTAAGGACACAGCATAAAGTAAATATGAGAACGCTGAGCAGGGCATGATGAATTAATTTAAACCTAAATGTGCAAACTATATGGATTAAGATAATTTGATATGAACCCCATCATTCTTTTTATAGACTTGTGAATCTCACACTTGACTCAGAATGGTGCCTGAGTAATCAGACTGTGCTTCATGTGTGTTTACTCCTGAATGTAGAGTGTCCCATTTATACCATCTCATATGTGATGCTTGGTTTCTGCTAACCTTATCATGTGTTTGTTTATGCAGGACGGTAACACTCCCAGGCAGCTAGCAGAGCAACAGGAAAACCAAAAATGTGCTCATCTCCTTCAGCAATACCAGGCTAGGCCAGCTGACACAGAGGAGGAAGACCTGCCGCAGTTTCAGTACAGTAAGATGTTTTATTTTTAAGTTTATCTCAAGTAAATAATTTGCAAAGATTGTTGTTTGACACACACTTGTTAAGTTGGTAAATTTTGTTTGTGTACCAAGTTTTAAGACCTGACATTTTTTATGATGCCCTTACAAAAAAACTACTGAACTGAAAGTGAGTGTATTATTTGCTATTACAACAAATTTCTACATCTCAGTAGCTTCTTTGTTATTTGATTGATGGCAAACAAGCAAAGTGTACATATGGTTAAAACCTTGGAATATTTCTTATACATAATACCTGGAAGTTTTTTTTCCACATAAAACCCGAGATTATTGATTTGGATAGATTGGTTTAACAAAAGAGCAAATAAAAAAAGAACACACTGAAATGAGTCTTTAATTTTCTTCAACGTTTGTCATTAATCTTTACCATTTTTCAGATGAAAACAAGCTCTTGGACAAAATACCTAGTAGTGTATACATATTAGGTCACAAGTTAGAGCTGCGAAAACATTCTTTGTCTTCTTTTTCACTGTGGTGATTTCATTAGGCTTTTCCTATTCTCTTCTCAGCTGTGTACTCTGACCAGACTGACGTGTCCTGCTATCCTGAATTGGTCAACAGTTTCAGTTCCCATTCATCCTGGATAAGTGATTTTGATGAAGCTCCTCTGAGCAGCACAAGGCTCTCTTCGAACATCAATGGAAGACCAAGTTGCAGAGGATTTTCATTTAACAGACCTGATGGCACTTCGTTGCTTTCCAGCACTCGTCTCTCTGCAGTGGGACCTGCAGTTACAATGCCGCTTCCTCAAGAGGACCCTTTA